ACAAAAATTAAGATTTAAAACTTAAAAAAATAAAAAAGAAAAATGCAAAGTGCCAAACGGTATGTATAGCATGCTGTCTGCTAATTAAAATGCCAAAAGAAGAAGAAACAGCGGACAGCAAGAATACACACATTCATGTTTGCTTATATATGGGGAAAGAAAGTCAGGAAAGTGACAGGAGAAGCTAATAACAGTGGTTAACTACAAGGGTAGAGGAGAGGCTTCGCAGATAAGGGACTCGTTTGCAGATAGGACTTTTCTTTGTATACATTTTTATATATTATTTTATTTCTTCTGAAAATGCCTCATAATTTGCAATAAACGATTCACTCCTTAGCTCCAAAAGCAAGTCCTTTATCAAAATGCAAATGTTCCAGAGGGCTGTAGCCAGATTCTGTGGACCTCAATCTTTTTCACCCCTAAGAATTCACCCCTGTGATTTCTCTCTTCCCCTGCTTGGAGACCTCTAGAGAGCCAGCCTGCAGCTGCTCAGGGCATTGACTGCTAAACAGCTCATCGTTGCTGCTGCTGAAAACGCCTGGTGGTTACGCCTTCCTGACCAGGAGCAGCCCACAGCTGATGCCGGCCCCCCTTGCTTCAAGGTGGGATGACATGGATGGTGCCATTCACACTCCAGAGCCGCCTGGGATCAGGCCGAGTTTGGACGTTGGCTAGCCCTGCGTCTTTGCCTAGTTTCTTCCTCTGCTGTACCTCGCTTCCCTCATCTCCTTCTTGGTTTCTCCTGAGAGCTTCCCTCAAGAAATCACCCCAGAATCCTTGTCTCAGACTCTGCTTCTAGGCCCAACTTACGACATTCACAAAATAAATTACACTGATGATGACAGATCCCTTTCTCCGAAATGAATGACCAGTAGGCACTTCTGACTAGCATGAGCATCAGTATATCTACACAGTGCTACACTAACACCAGCCCAAAGCAGATAGTGCTGGGTGGAGTCAGTACAGGTTAATACCTCATGGGTCTCCATCTCCACCACCTTCAGACCCAAGGCTCCAGGGCTGCCAGCCTGAGAACCCTAAGTCATGATCTTGGGCACTTTGGCTGGATTTCCAGGCAACTGTCTGAAACCAGGACCCATAAATAGAGTTGGAAGGAGGAGGGAGCAAAAAAGGCTAGAGTGGCTGGGCGTGGTGGCTCATGCCTGTAACCCCAGCACTTTGGGAGGCAGAGGTGGGCGGATCACCTGAGGTCAGGAGTTTGAGACCAGCCTGACCAATATGGTGAAACCCCATCTTAAAAAAAAAAAAGGCTAGAGTGGGCGTCAGTTGGTTTTGCCTGCCAGTCATCCACCATAATCCGTCCCCATTCTGCTGCACAGAAGTGCTGTGGCTGAGAGGCCTGCTTTTTTCCACCCCTCTAGTTAATATGACTAAATTCTCCCTATGGAATGGGAATGGAAAGGCCACACCCAGGCCAGTGTCTTCAGGAAGGGGCTGTGACCCTTCCACACCCGTATCAGACACAACCATCATCTCGCCCTGTTTTGCCGGCTTTCAGGTGTATGTGCTGAAGGCTGCTTACGGCTAACCTCTGGGGATTTTCCTGGCACAGGAAGCATGCTTGGCCAGTGCGCAGGGCAAGTTGGAAGGGCTCCAATGTACGGAGCCGTCAACCAACGATGGATGGAGAGTTGCGAGCAGTGTCCTATGCATCCGCAGTGGGCTAACTCTCAGGCGCATGCTGTACTGCCTCCCGGAGGGCCCCAGGGCGATTAAGCACCAGTTACCCACAGCAGTCACTTCCTTGATTCTCTTCCCCACATGGGCACTTTTCTTCCTGTCACACCTCTCAATGCCCTGCAGATACTTTCTGGGATCACTTCCCAAGCAATCCACTTGAACTTTAATCCTTGCCTTCAGAACTGGCTTCTGGAGGAACCGAAAATACATGAAAAAAAGAGAGACCAGGGCCTTAAAAAGAGCCGAAAGAGTTAAGCTTCCTGCCAAGTCACCCCCAGATGCCTCTGCCCACCAGCCTGCATGAGCCAGACCCTCAGTGCAGGCTGGGCCGGGCACAGTGGTTCACACCTGTAATCTCAGCACTTTGGGAAGCCAAGGTGGATAGATGACTTAAGGTTAGGAGTTCAAAACCAGCCTGACCAACATGGCAAAACCCCATGTCTACTAAAAATACAAAAATCAGCCAGGCATGGTGGCACCCAAGCCATGCCTTAACTTAACTAGCGTAGCTGCCCAATGTCCATTTCCTCTTCTGGCCATGGCGTCCTGATTTTCTGCTGGGCAACCCCTTTCTGACTGCTCCCAGACCAGGGGTGTAGCTGACCTGCGCTCTTTCCACTAGGTTCAGCAGGGGAGGAGTGTAGGTCTGGTCTAGAGAGCTACACATCTCCCAGGGCACACTAATTAGTTGAGGGTGGGCCCCAGAGCCAAATCCACCCAAGATCTTAGCCTGAAAGAGAAACCCTCCTACTGGGCAACTGCACTGTGAGGCAGAAGTTCAGAGCTGTGGGTGGCCATCCAGCCTCCATTTGTGCCAGCCTGAGAAAGGAGCCACCACTGGGGAAATTGAGCTAAAAGACGGAGAGAGGTAAGAGAGGACATCACGTAAGCACCAGATCTGGCCACCCCCTGAAACTGGAACGACCCTAGGCTTTTCAGCTACTACAATCCCTTTTCTGCTAAAGTTGTTTTACACTGGGTTTCTGTCCCTTGCAACCAAGAACTCTGCTTAATAAAAACCTGACCCTAAAGAGAACGTCAACTGGTTCACAATTCCCTGTGCAAAACAGGCACAGGCCAGCTGCCCCAGTCCTGTCATTTGGATATTCCTTTCTAAGAATGCTCACTTTTGTTGTCTACATGACCCAGATCACCAAGAAGAAAGCAAATCAACCACCTTCCAGCCAGTCTCCTCCGAGGCAGGTGCTAGGAGAGAATACAATGTTAGTACTCTGATCCCTGGAGTCAGGGTTGAGCCTCGGCGCTGGCTGTCCTGGGAGGCTGCACCTGTGATACTTGAGTGCCAGGTTCAACCCCTGCTGCTGCTGCTGCCTGAATGGAGCCATTTAGATTGTTTTGTGCTACAGCCTCATCCCAGGAACCTGGAGCTTCAGATGAGGCAGGGCAGGGCCCCATGGCCCCTGAACCTTGCCAGTCCAAGCAGCAGAGAAGTGAGGACCCCCCCCACCCCACCCAGTCAGCCCTGGTCTCATACCTGCCTCTGCATGATTCCAGTCCAGACTGAAGCCTTTGCTTTCTTTTTTGAAGAGAGGGTGAGGAGAGAGGGAAATTGAGGCATTCTGACTAGACTCAGGATTCCAGGCCTCTGCCTCCGACCTCCAGAAAACAGCCTCTGCAGTTGCCTCAACTACTCATGAAAACAGGGTTGTGACCCCAGGGATGCTCTGAGGATTCTCCCAGCAAACTGCCCAGTGAGGGCTACCTAGCTCACTGCCCAAAAAGGGTTTGTTTCCTTTCCTTCTGAAACAAAAGCACTGAATTGGAAGAGAAATGTTGGCTCAGGCTATAGAATATGCCACTTAAAATGTCCAGATCTTGGCATAATGCCTGGCTCACAATGTGGGAGAGAAGGAGAGAAGGTGGAAGGAAAGGAGGGAGGGAAAAGGAAAGAAGAGGAGAGGAAGCGGAGAGGGAGGAAACAAGACAAGGGTCTAGCAATCTTTCCCTAGACCAAGGAGTGGCCCAGGTGGTGCCCAGGAGTGGGCAAGGAAATACAACGGGGTGTAGGTGATCGGAGTATAGCTGATGGGGTGTAGGTGATGGAGTATAGGTAATCAGGGTGCAGATGATTGGGGTGTAGGTGATGGGGTGTAGGTGATGGGATGGAGGTGATCAGGGTCAATGTGATTGACGCGTAGGTGATGGGGTATTGATGACTGGGGTGTAGGTGATCAGGTGTAGGTGATCTGGGTGTAGGTGACTGGGGTATAGGTGACCAGGGTGCAGATGATGGGGTGTAGGTGACTGGGTGTAGGTGACTGGGTGTAGGTGACTGGGGTATAGGTGATGCGGTGTAGGGGATTGGGGTGTAGATGATCTGAACTTCCTACTCAATTCAAGTAGCAGCTCCCAGCCTGTGGCAAATACTTCCTGAGGCAGGCAGGATGAGGAAACCTTCTCCCCTCCCCCCGTGGCCAGCTGCCCACATTTTGCCCTATCAGAGTCTCACCTTCCATGGCTCTGACACAGGACTCCAAGGTGAGGAGATGGAGGTAGCAGAGGTCACTGCACTCAGCTGTCACGCACCCTGAGGGAACTCCTGACACTGCTATCCCTCCTGCAAGTGAGGAGTCAACATTTCTCATGCTCCAGGGTTGGCCCCAGAGCCCATTCAAGGGAGGGAGAAGAGGCTTCAGCCAGTGCATCCTAACCGCAGAAAGCCAAGACCTCTGCAGAGAAAGATACCAGGCCCATAAAAAGAGACCCTAGAGTTGAGTCCCCTGCCATGCCACCCCAGGCGTCTCTGCCCACCAGCCTGCATGAGCCAACCCCTTAGTGTAGGTTTTTCTAATCAGCCATTTGTTCTTCCACCCAACACTCAAGATTTGATCCCAGCCTGGACAACACAGCAAAATCCCATCTCTACAAAAAAAAATACAAAAATTAGCTGGGCATAGTGGCACACACCTGTAGTCCCAGCCACTTGGGAGGCTGAAGTGGGAGAGGATCACCTGAGCCTGGGAGGTCAAGGTTGCAGTGAGCCATGATCGCACCACTGCACTCCAGCCTGGGCGACAGAGTGAGAACTTGTCTCAAAAACAAAACAAAAAAAAAAGAGAGAGAAAGATCTGTTTCTTCAAACCCACACCACTAATACAACATAATCAACCTCCCCATCTCAATAACCTGCAACGAAACATCACACAGTAAGCTCTGAACAGAGAGCTGTGGGTCAATGTTTCACTTGGCCTTTGAAAGCTTCACAAGAACATTTCATTTATTAAAATAATTTCTGTAAACTCTTTCAGAATAACAAAATTCATTTCCCTTGCTTAAACAGCATTTCAAGTAGAAGTATTTTTATTTCAAGGCACCATAAAATGATGATTGCTCTAAGAAATACCTCTCCCTCCATGTGTGAAAATCCTTGGAAAAGAAAAAAAAAAGTCCCGCATGGTGTTCTTGGCTATCAGGATCGTGGAAAACAAACTTTGGTGAATGTGAGCAAGTGCACCAGACAGGACACGGGTTACAGGGCCTGACGGCACTACGGTAACTGACAATCTTGGAACGGATCCGACTGCTGATGTTCCAAAAGGACACAGAGGTGAACTGGACATTTCTAATTAAGAAGAGCCAGTGGGGTGGGGGATGCTGAAAACCAAAAATCCACGTAGACATACATGGCAGTGTGAACGTCTGTCCTCCCTTCCTTCTCACTTCCTCTCCTCCTCCTCACTCAGGCTGGTATTCTCCTGGTGTACGGATGTCAGCTTGCCCTGCAAAAGGGCCGCCAGTTTTTTAGATGTCTTTTTGAGAAACGAGCTGCCCGGGTGGGCACTGTTCACGTGCAGGTACAGTTCCTCCTGGGTGGGGCCCGTGTAGCCGCAATCCTCGCAGACGTAGAGCTTGTCCCGCCGCTGCTTATAGGCATACTGCTGCTGCACCCCATGGATTTTCTTCAGGTGGGACTCCAGGGAGCAGCGCTGAGTGAAGGCTTTATTGCAGACATTGCATTTGTAGGGACGAATGCCTGCAAGGACAAGGGGCAGACACAGCATCGGTTGGTCACAGCCAAGTCAGAACAACCCAACTATGAAGCCAGTAAAAGTCATCCTGACCAAGGATTCATGGCAGCATGAGGACAACGGTTAGAGCAGGGGACAAAACCGTCTACAAAGGATCATAGCATCCATCTGAGCATACCTAACACAAACGGATGCCAACATAGAAAAAAACAAAACAAAGCACTACCTGCTTTAGGAAGATTTTTATTCTTTCAGCTGGCCCACCTTAATGTTTTCATTATTGTGAGCAAAGTAAACTTAAAAAAAAAATTTAATTTGGGCTGGGGGCAGTGGCTCACGCCTGTAATCCCAGCACTTTGGGAGGCCGAGGCGGGCAGATCACTTGAGGTCAGGAGTTCGAGACCAGCCTGGCCAACATGGTGAAATCCCATCTCTACTAAAAATACAAAAAACTAGCCGGATGTGGTAGCATGCACTTGTAGTCCCAGCAACTCAAGAGACTGAAATGGGAGAATCGCTGGAACCTGGGATGTGGAGGTTGCAGTGAGCCAAGATTGAGCCACTGTACTCCAGTCTCAGAGACAGAATGAAACTCCATCTTAAAAAAAATTTTTTTTTTTTAAATTTGGGTTTTCCCAGAAACAGAATCTGAAACAAAAATTCCAGTACAAGTAGTTTATTTGAGAGGTGATCCCGGGAAGAACCTATGCTGGAACAAAGATGTGAGGCGGGGGAGGGTAGGATCCAGTCCAGGAGGAGCTACCCAGCCAGTTACATGGTGGGCAACTCGGGTCCAGTCCTTCTGCACAATGCAGGGAGACAGTCCAGTACACACTTGGTGTCATCCTGCCCCTCCAGGAGCTGGGGTGAGTCACTGGCTGCAGTGGGTGGCTGTGAGTCTCCATTCCCAGCACTTCTGCCTGCCTTGTGCAGACAGACTGGGATCAGCAGGAAGCCCCTCAGGCAGAGGTGCAGCGTGGGCAGTCACCACCTGGACAGGTGTGCCCAGAAATGGCAGATGCCCAGGCCATCGGCAGGACACTGAGGCATTTGTTGTAGTTACGAAAATCATTTCCAAATAAGCTCTTGTGCTGCTGGCGTTAAAACTGGGCTAACATTAGTGGGACCTGCCCTCTAGCTGAGATTTCGCAGGTACAATATGGAACAGCCTCATCAAAGAACTGCTGCCCCTACCTCCATGATTACTCACACTGATGTTTGTGGCAGAATCTCAGATAAAGAACATAAACATAGACTCTCTGTGTGTGTGTGCAACAGAATACGTATTTAGATGAGCTTGGACAGTACAGTGTTTTACATACTTGCCAGAGCCTCAGGATCACCTGGAGAGCTTTTGAAAATCTTAACTCATGACGGGCACGGTGGCTCATGTCTGTAATCTCAGCACTTTGGGAGGCCAAGGCGGGTGGATTGGAAGGTTGGGAGTTCAAGACCAGCCTGGCCGACATGGTAAACCCTGTCTCTATTAAAAATACAAAAACTAGCTGGGCATGGTGGCATGTGCCTGTAATCCCACCTATTCAGGAGGCTGAGGCAGGAAAATTGCTCGAACTGGGACCCAGGAGGCGGAGGTTGCAGTGAGCCGAGGTTGTGCCACTGCACTCCAGCCTGGGCTACAGAACAAGACTCTGTCTAAAAAAAAAAAAGAAAATCTTAACTCATCTCTCCTAACACCAACTCAGTGGGTCTGGGGTAGGAATCAGGAATCTATTTTTAACAAACATCACTGGATATCCCAGTGATGTTAAACTGGCTTTTAGGAGCCACCAATTAAGGTCTTTAAGATTCTGGTTGTGGTCCTGCCTGAGGTCAGGTAAGGTAACAGGGCAGAGACCTCAGAGCACACCCAGCTCAGTGCCCTACACCGGCAAAGGTCGCCCCTTGGGCCAGCGGCTGAACAGGAGGTTCACACTCAAAAAGCAGGTTGGGACTTAAAGATGGAACAACAGACACTGAGGACTACCAGAGGGCGGACAGAGGGAGAGGCCGAGGACTGACAAACTCCCCATTGGGTACTAACTGGGTGATGGGATCATCCAAACCTCAAATCTCAGCAACATGCAATGTACCCATAAAAACAAACCTGCACATGCACCCCCTGAATCTAAAAATCAAAGTTGATTTTTTTTTTTTTTTTGGTAAAGGTTGAGACTGGTGTGTGACAGAAGCAAACACACTAAGCCGAAATCTCACATGACAGATTCTAAGAAATTCCCGTAGAGCATATCATCAAGTTTTATTGGGCTTTAGTTGTGGGCAGAGTCCAATACTAAACCTTGCACACAAAAATAAATGAAATTGGCTGGGCACAGTGGCTCACACCTGTAATCCTAACACTTTGGGAGGCTGAGGTGGGCGGATCACCTGAGGTCAGGAGCGCCAGACCAACATGGTGAAACTCCATCTGTACTAAAAATACAAAAATGAGCCAGGTATGATGGCACATGCCTGTAATCCCAGCTATTGGGAAGGCTGAGGCAGGAGAATCGCTTGAACCCAGGAGGCAGAGGTTGCAATGAGCCGAGATTGTGCCACTGTACTCCAGCCTGGGCGACAGAGCAAGACTCCGCTTCCAAAAAAATAAATAAGTAAATAAATAAGTGAAATTAAGAAATCACCATAGTAAGGTCTAACTTAGGCTCTCAAAGAGAGGATTATGGCTGTGAAGGAGACACACGTCACATAAGCATGGAAGCTGAGAGAGGGAGAATACGGTGCTGGGGTGCATGGAGCACGAAGGGGCCACAGCCACAGCCACGAGACCTTGCTAGAGGCTAGAGACAGAAGGGATGCCACCTGGAGAAACCCGCAGACCCTGTACAGATTCCTGGGCCTGCCTCAGGGACCCCAGGTAATAGGTCAGGGGCTGGGATTAGGAAGCTGCAGTTTCATTTTTAATATTTTATTCTATTTTTTCGAGTCTGATCTCCCCCTGTCGCCCAGGCTGAAGTGCAATGGTGCAATCTCGACTCACTGCAGCCTCCACCTCCCGGGTTCAAGCAATTCTCCTGCCTCAGCCACCTGAGTAGTTGGGATTATAGGCACCTGCCACCACGGCCAGCTAATTTTTGTATTTTTAGTAGAGACAGGGTTTCACCATGTTGGCCAAGCTGGTCTCAAACTCCCAACCTCAGGTGATCTGCCCACTTTGGCCTCCCAAAGTGCTGGGATTACAGCCATGAACCATTGCACCTGGCCCTAATAGTTACCTTTTATTAAAATATAGAAAAATAGGCTGGGCACGGTGGTTCATGCCTACAATCCCAGCACTTTGGGAGGCCAAGACAGGCAGATCACCTGAGGTTGGGAGTTCGAGATCAGCCTGGCCAACACAATGAAATCTTGTCTCTACTAAAAATACAAAAATTAGCCTGGTGTGATGGTCCATGTCTGTAACCTCAGCTACTTGGGAGAAAGAGGAATGAAAAGCACTTGAACCCGGCAGGCAGAGGTTGCAGTGAGCCAAGGTCATGCCACTGTACTCCAGCCTGGGCAATAGAGCAAGACCCTGTCTCAACATAAATAAATAAATAAAATAAATAATAAGAGGTTTCTATTAACAGTTGTTTAAATTTAAAAGTAATGTACCCCCAGTTTTATGGTGAAAATAGCAATAAATTAAAAAATAAAACAGAAAAGATCTCCTGTCACCCCATCACCTTTCCTTCTCTGGTCTTAACTCTAGTTTCTTGTGATACTTCATGTTTTCTACAAATTATATATATGTACATATATATTTCATTTTATTTTATTTTATAAGAGTCTCGCTCTGTCTCCCAGGCAATCTCCACTCACTGCAATCTCCACCTCCTGGGTTCCAGCAATTCTCCTGCCTCAGCCTCCCAGGTAGCTGGGACTACAGGTGCCTGCCACCACATCTGGCTAACTTTTGTATTTCTTTAGTAGAGATGGGGTTTCACCACATTGGCCAGACTGATCTTGAACTCCTGACCTCTGTCTCGGCCCCCAAAGTCCTGGGATTACAGGTGTGAACCACTGTACCTGGCCTACATATGTATGTTAAGATTAATAATTATATGTCATCTCTGGGTGTTGCCCAAGCAGGAGAATTTTTAAAAGCTTCCCCTGGAGGCTCTAGTGTGCAGCCAAGTATGAAAATGAGTGTTCTAAATAAATGCACGTTTTCATTGCCATGTGCACCGGTGTACATTTTTCTGAGACATAAACGTGGGGTTTTGGAGACAAGGTCTGGAGGGTGTACATGCCATTGCATCCCTGCCTGTATTACTTCCTATCTCTAACCACCTGCCAGGGTGAAAATTAATTCACAATAACTTTCATATTAACTGTGGTTCCTTCTGGGCAGTGGAATGACAACGAATCTCCCACCTTTTCTCTTAAAACTATTCTAGGATGGGTGCACGGCTCACGCCTGTAATCCTAGCACTTCAGGAGGCCAAGACAGGAAGATTGCTCAAGCCCAGGAGATCAAGACTAATCTGGCAAACAGGGGGTGACCCCCATCTTTACCAAAAAGTAAAAAATCAGCTGAGCGTGACAGCATGCCCCTGTGGTCTCAGCTACTCAGGAGGCTAAGGCCGGAGAAATCACTTGAACCCAGGAGTTCAAGGCTACTGTGAGCCATGATTGTGCCACTGCACTCCAGCCTGGGTGACAGAGAGACCCTGTCTCAAAACAAAACCAAAAACAAAACACCTCACCAATCAAGGTTAAGAATGTTTTAAGGCAATATTTTAAAAATCAAAATATTGAATGAATGGATGAACCCTATTGGTTCCAGGAAAGAAAGGTCACATCCTTGGGACTAGTTTTCCACCCAGGCAAGGGCTACGGGCTTCTCTCCTAAGGAATGCGCCCGCTTAGCTTTCACATTAGCACTGCAATGCAGACTCTTGTTTCCCCGGCCTTCTGGGCCCATGTGGCAGCAAGCAGCTGGCTCCCACTACCCAGCAGATCAAATGGCAAAGCTGATCTCAAACCTTCAGCTCATCACCCAGAGACT